AGCCTTCTACTTCGAAAGGTTAACGTAGGCAAATTCAGTTCGTATTTCACCACGCTCGGAAACCTGATTTGAATTTCGGAAAACTAAATTACCTACATTTAAAGTTTATAAGAACCGAAAGGTATTTTATTTGGAAGGGTACATTCTGTAAGAGATGTCAATAAAGCGAGGTGAAATTAAAAATTCGTCCACGTATCAAATTGACCAAAGAGGTACTGCGGACTCAATGCAGAAAAGTGAACAAGATAAGAATACTTAATGAAGTCTCCGACCATTTAAGAAGTTGAATCAAGGATGTTTCCTAGATACGTACTTTTACGAGCAGTCTTACACCAATATGTGTTACAACGTCGTTTAGACCCCACAAGTGATTACATTTATAATTAAGTGCCAGTTAACCATACCGAAGGCGTTTCTACACCATTAAGAAACAAGAGTTCTTTGGCTTTCATTCTGTGCGTATTTTCTGTATATGTCACTTCATTAATTGTACGACGGGAAATCTCTTGAATTTTGTATTGATCACGTGATCTCGATGAAAGATTCGGTCCTGCATTTAAATTGCAGCCATTGTCGAGCATTACGTACCGTACGTCAATAATCCGAGCAAAAGAAGAAAAATGTCGACCGTTCTTCGTTTCTCGATAAAAATTCGAATAGAATCCTCTGAAAGGCACGTCCACTATTTCTGCCCTCAATTTTCGGAGATAAAATGTGCAATGTATTGGAAACAACAAAATTTATATATATCGCACCTATATCGGCATTATAATTTAATCAACCTAGAAAATTGACTTAAACAAAAATGAAGCCATTGAATGAAAAACCCATTCGTTAGGAATCATTTTCAGTCACTTTGTATTCAGACAATCTCTTTGCAAACAGCTATTAAAATAAACAAGTTTCTGCACCAGAGCTTTACGCGTCGTTAAAGCTGGTCGATCATTACCATATTTATCGACTTCAAGTCAGAAAACTTACATGGAAAGTTTTTCACTCGTGATCCGGGCAATCAAGCAAACTCCCACTAATGTACAGTGAAAGCCTAGCTATATACGTGTAGGCTAAAACTTTTTGATAGCTCAATCTACAGTTTGATGCGGCTATATAATGTTCCACAAAAGTTTTAGACGTGTCTGTACAGCTAATATGTTTTAGGGGTGTAAATTACTTCCTTCTGCATCTAACACGGTTTATTCAAAATGTAAGATTTTTCAAACCCTCGAGGGTTGAGAAATAAGCATCCAAATTGTCATACTAGGGTACCACCAATATTTTATAATGGAAGAAACATCGCAATTTCTGGATACATAGTTTATCAATGTACTTTTTCTTTCCGTATATAATTAAGAGGTGACAATCCCTTTGTTATATGTCAACGAACACCCTGTGCACGAAAGGGAATATTTAATGTAATAATTTCTGGTTTCAGGTCGCTCTCTCCCCTGGCCAATAGTGCTCTACCTTTTCCCGTGTATAGAAAATTGACTGCACAACCGATTGGTTCTACAACTAAGTTTGTAAAATTGTGCGCGAAATGTATTATGTTCATATTGAAGTAAGTACCTAATTTATGGTATTTTAATAGCAATTTTTTTTATCAAATGTCGCATGTAATAGTAGGTAGTAATAACAGTAATAATTGTTACTGCAATCGGTTAACCGTTGTAATAAGCAATCTATTGACGCGATGTTTTACAGTTTATATGGGTGCTGACTAAAATTTCCTTTAGAAGGCTTTCAGATTCACTTCCAATGAGAATTCTCAAAAATAAATTAAAAACAGGTTCATTTGTAATGTATACGTACAAAAAGTTGAATATAAAAAGTTCTTATTTCTATATTACAAACTCAAAATGATATTGAATATGACGGCGAGAAAGGATATTTTTCAACGTAGATAGTGCCATAGTGTTAAGTACTTCTTGATATCGTTTAGTTTTGTATGTCTATCTGGTGTTCTATCTACTATTTCGAACTAGGTCAACCTAATGAACATACAGGTATCAAAGGACAAAGACTTATGTCCGTGAAACTTAAGATCCCAATGACCACAAAGGTTTCCTACAGATGCTCAATAAATCAATTCCATGCACTTTCGACGATCGTGTTCAGATCATCTTAAAATCTTGAAAAAATGAGGTTTTTGCATAGTTACTCCGCCAAACTCCTAACGCATGGTGGAATGCCACTCAACGATATATGGGCATCTGCTTTTGCTGGAAGATTCCACTGTCAAAATTTCGGAAATATGGAAGCTGATAAGAAAGTTTTCCCACATTCCATTTTCGGAATGTAGATTAAAAATATTAACCGATACCACCAAACACTGCTACCGACTAAATCTTTTTCATGCTATGCTTCTATAAGAAGGTCAACATTTCAGTAAAATCCTCACATAAATTAAAATTTGCGTCAAGGGGGATTGACGCCCCACTTACAGTGTAGGGTGACCGATCTTTTTTTTTCGGTCAAATTCTTTACAATATAATAAGTGATATAAATATTTTTCCTCGAACACCCTGTATGTATTATTTTTTATTGTTGAAGTACGTCCCTTTTTATATGCTCAATCGTCCAATTGTACAAGACTACATAATTTTTTAAACACCGGAGTAAATCTTTTGTACCCCCTGTATAATGATTTGTTTTATACATTATCACCTAGAGTGAAGTAGACATAGTGAAGCAATATACTCGATTCACTGGGTCCAATACTTACAAGATTGTGTAATGTAAAAGATTTGGGAGCGGCAATGGTAATAAGACGGGAGTTTTAACTTACTTCTCGTTAACCACTACAATGTTTGTATTTCTACAAAATAGTATATACCACATCAAATAAAATGCATATAAACGCTAGTTACTGTACCCAGTGACTCGTGTAGTATTCATGTAATTCTTTGTAGTTACTATGTAACATGTTGTAGCCTTGCACTGAATACACACAAAATAGTCCCAGAAAATCATTCTTTTCCTAATTTACCACTTTTAATACCTACCAAGGAACACTGTACTTACTTTATCACCTACTGATCAAGAGGGCGTGTAACTCAAGACTCGGCGCGGGTTGAAGTTGGGAGGACGAAATTTCACGTGTCCGACATGGATTCTGTAAAACTTAATAAACCAGAGGGAGCGTCCCAGGATACTCCTCAAACTCTGTTGTCGAGCCTCAACAAACCCAACCGCGAAAGAGCATCTCCGTCGCTGAGCAGAAGAAGAGGAAGAAGACCAGGCTGACCCAAATGGGTCAAACTGCCTCAACATCGACCATCAAACCAACTACCTCCCATGACCCAACTCGGACACAGAAGTGGGCTCGTATAGCTAACTTCGGTGGGGCGGGCAAACGGGTAGGCGAATAGAAAAAGAGGCGGATGACTCAACACCGACCCAAACGCTCACAAAAAAAAAGGGCAGAACGCAATCCCAACCAAAGGTGGGCTCAAGCACCCCGCAATCGTAGTTGTCAGAGAGTTGCCCAGAGGGTAGGGATAACGGCTAACCAGGTGGATATAGTATAAAAACACCTGGGCACGTTCAGGGGTTGGAGGAACTCGGGTGAGATTCTATGAATATCGTGCGAGAACAACCATTCCCTTGGGTGATTGAAGCACGTGGTGAGACTCTGCACTCCCAAGGTAGTGCAGAAAGACGTCTTCCCAGGATCTGCAAGGCTGCCATTTAGGTCCTGGGGGTACCCGATGTCCTGGCGCCTGGAAGCGCAGAATTCAAGGGAAAAGGTAGGCAGCTGGTGTCTCTTTCACACAACCGTGAGAGATCAATCTTAAGGCAGGCTGATACTTTTCGGCATTAAGGAAGAAGACCAGGCTAGTTTAATCGGGGAAAGGTTCAGTTATGGGTTTTCCTCTCTAAAGGTGAGAGGTAGTAACTCTGTCGAACCAGCGGTGGAGAGTACGTCAGTACAACCACTATAACAACAGCAGTAGCGGCTACAGGGGCAACTACCAAGTATCAACGGAAGCATCACCGCTCAAGCTTACAAGACACCCTGTGGTCAGTGCTTGCTCCAGCGCAGCGTCGACAACTCACCCGGGCCGATTACGAGCTGAGCTGAGTTTGCGGATATTGATGAATTGGAGCAAAAATGTCTAGCTCAAGGCCGAAGGCTCTCTGGTAAAGTCGCCGCGGAATTGACAGACCTTGGGGACCATCCCCGAAGGCTGTCCACTAACGCGATTTGACTTATGTTCTATTATGAAGCAATTGTCTGGTGACCTAGAACCAGACTCTCCACAATCGTAGCACTTCTTGATCATATGCAAAGACTAGCGTGCCTTGCTTGCACGGGTTCGATTAATCACTCCCTCTAATCTTCTTTGCTGTGGTAAACACTATATATCTCAGTGTGAGTTCCTTGTTTCAAATTTCACAGACCTGATTCATATAACAATCAGAGCTGGTCATGATTAATCCGGTTAATCGGTTATCCGATTAAATGGGTATTATGCAATCCTTAGTAATCCGTTAATTGCGAATAATCGTATTTATAGAAATAGTGAATCGACATTGAGCAAACTATAAGATATTAAAATAAATCTGCGATCCAAGATAAATTAGTATTGCATCGGGAATCTTAACTATACGTTATGTGAATCAAATGTTATCCATTATTCGATATTTAGATAGAAAGTGGTTTCCATTTTACCATTGAATAAAATCAACTAGTTCAATGGCTTTACGCATCTTTGAAACTAAAATGCTCTCCATTTAGAAAATTACACGACGACAAGTTACCACTTCTTACATTGCATATTACAAGCGCCTTAACATCATTAATACTAAAACCATTAACAAAAAAGAATATGTCCAGAATATAAGACCAAGCAAATAAATTGGATAAAAAGCTGCCGCAGGAAACTTCAAAACACTATTAGGACACAATCATAACATCAAAAGTTTTGTGTTCTTCCGAAAATCAAATATAGGAATTTGGTTAGGAAAAGTGCAGTGCGAGGGTTACGTATAAAACAAACCTCGCACGGTTTCCATATTCTTACCAAAACACCAGCCGAACGCGAATTGTGCTCACCTGCAACAAATGAATACGATTAATATTTAAACTTTAAAGAAAAATCGTTAAACTACTTCAATAAGGCGCACGGTACTTTGCACGCACGAGTAGCAAACAGTTCAAAGTTCTTGAAAAATAAAGTAAGGTGGGTAGGTATAAATGAAAAGAAGTTTACACAGCGTTGTTTGCTCTTACGGTCGTTTTTCACATTATCTGCATGAAGAGTAACAAAATTCCTTCAGTAAAGAGGACATTTCCAGTCAGTAATGAGATGTTTGTCTACCGTCTGGCCTTTTTTGTGAGGTATTTCGAATTGCTTCTGCATTCATCTGAAGAGTAAATTTTACGTCTTAAAACATAGTGTCAAAAAGTAATTACCGATCGTTTAGAAAGTTAGTGCAGATTGTACGAAATCGCAATAAACATAAGAAGCAGTGATTAGCCGGAAGACAAAGAACTAAATAAAAGAATGAGAATTTCTTAACGAAGTAGTTTTACTGAAGAGTTCAACCCAAACCAACTTAAATAAACCTGGTTTTTATGCTAGCAAATAACAGAGCTCATTAAAGAGGAACATTAAGGATCCTAATTAACGTGTTCAATTACCATAGTCTAACTTTTCCCTTACTTTTTTATCATTTCACATAAATTTCTATGAAACAGACTGTAGGAAGTAGAAACACTAGGGCAAATTTTCCAAGCTGTACTGTTGTTCCGACTTCCATAACTTCCACCCCTGATAAAATATACAAAACATTAACATTCCCAGCGGTAAATTTCAGAAGGCTGTCTAAACTAACAGAAGAGCTTTCAACGAGAGAACGAAATCCGATAACAATTAAACTTGTAGACAGAGAACTGCAGGATTATTCTATAGGGGTTAACAAAATATTCAACTATTATCGCAGTGTTGTTAATGAGATAACCCGTTCGTTAGAAAATCATACACAACTTAACCCATTAACGCGAACTTGTATCGTGTTTGAAAGCTTATTGAAAGGGTAACATTTTGATATACATACACAGTAAATTGGTCATTACGTGTTCTTGCCATGTAAGGGTGGTAAAAACAAATATTTTATTTTATTTATTTGAATTACCTACCTTAGCTTATGTCAAGGCAATACTTATTTAATTGAAATAACGATTATGGCTGAATCACATTCTTTGGTTAAACGATTATCCGAACAATGTAGTGCCTAACCGTTATCAACAGATGCATTTTATCCAAAACTAAAAATAATGATATCCCGAACCAAGATAGCGTCCTAACAATCAGATGGCGATCGTGGACGATTTTCCAGAAAATCGGAAACAAAATGAACTTATGGCTTTTAGAGCTTTGTCTTGGTTACTGAAAACTGCTCCTATTTTGCATACCTGACCTGTTACACCTTGGGCATACGCTGAAAAGTTTAAATTTGATCTTATACAAGTAGTAAAGAGCCAGTGATCCCCACCCCTTCTTTCTGACGTCATAGTGCTGCGTTGTGATTGGCTGCGACGGTAACTTTGAATTTGCGGATGTCGGTCATTTTATTGTTGTAAATTTGAATTTGTGTGGGGAATTTGAATTGTTTACTGTAATTGGCTGTGGCATTTTAAATATACAGGATGTAATGATAGTTAAATATAGGGTTTTTGTGGTGGGTGTTTTTGTACAGGTGCCAATAATAGGTTGTGAACTGGGTAACCACTTTGTACACCCTGTACATTTAAAATTCCATAACCAAACACAGTAAAAAATTCAAATTCCCCGTACAAATTCAAATTTACCACAACCTAGACCGCAACAAAGTGACAAGACATCCTGAAATTCAAACCTCGCACACAAATTCAAATTTACAAGTTTACCACAACAAAATGGCCAACATCCGCGAATTCAAATCTTCAGCCCAAATTCAAACTTACTGCTACAAAATGGCCGACATCCGCAAATTCAAAAATACCAATCACAACGCAGCACTGTGAAGTCAGGAAAAAGGGGGTGGGGAGGCTGGCTGTGTCTTTACTACTTATAAATGTATAACAAATATTCGTCGAATAACAAGTAGAAAAAACTTTATCAAAGTTTAAGACTGCTATTTTGAAAAATAACCTTTTAAAGGGAGGGGATACTGTACACGTCAGATAATATAATACACTGGCATAATGTTACATAAAATTTCAAGTATTAACTCGAGAAACAGCCATACAGACGTATATAACATATAGGTATAGTAAAAGTTAAACTCAATTAAAAATTGCATTAAAACTTCGTATCTACGATACCGAAAAGAATTATTTGAAATATCCTTCCGCCACTAAAAATAACCCAGAAGGGAATCAAACAGACAACACATGAAGTTCTCATGGGACTAACAACAAATAAACTTCCCAGTAAGAATAAAAATTCGGCACACATTATTACAAAGAAAGGCGGTAGTATCCTCAAAGGACGGCGCAATCTGTGAAAAAAGGGGCACGCAAAAAAATTTCCACGGAACACTAATTAAAATGAAAAATTCACAATTTTCGAATTAATCAAGCTGCACGTTGCTTAATTCCTCTCAACACCAAGATCTCAATTTTTTCGTAAAACTCACATACTTTGCAAATAAGACCAATAACGTAAAAAGACCGGTCTACATCTTGCTCATAAAAACATTGTTTATTCATCAATGAAACTCTGCGTTTTCCGGCTAACCAATTAAGTGGTTTTTACACCGCCAAGTGTACCGTATACAATAAAGCTTCTAACAAAGGTGCTCTTTTCAGAGTAAATGGGTAAATTTTGTATAGAGATTGAGATACACTTTAATGAGAGTTTCTGCGCCTTTATAGAACCAACAAAAAAATTACATTAATGGAACTCCTCACTCGTTTTACCGTTTCTTAATTTTAAAGTACCGATTAACATAAATAGATCAAACTGAAAGAAAAGAGATGCAATTTCAGAGCGAAACGCTGAAATAGTTGACTAAAACCATCTGCAAAAATAATGAGCGTAGTTTCCTCAAGACATTTTTCACTTTAACTTCGTTGTATGCAGTAATGGAAAATGCAGAATAAAATGTACTTAATTTCATTCTTATCGTATGAAGAAAACTTTTTCCAACTATTCCTTTAAAGCTCAATGCAGGCATTCGAAGCATGTCGGTTTGACCCATTGTAAATCAATTCCTATGAGGAAATTATACATTAAAATTTTCAACAGTTTTAAAGATGCATTTAACATCATTAGAGCAAATCTGGTACTTGAAAATGTAAAGACCTTTAATTCAATGGGACAGGTTGTTTAATATTAAGAGGTACTTCTATTTCAGCGCTAAAATTAAAATTACTTTCTCCTCAAAGAGATGCAAATGTAAAATTTATCAAACGCCCGCACTATGTAATTAGCTTCATTACAATTTGATAACTTTAACAAGCATCTCGATTAAACAAATCTTTATTTTTTTTTAATTTAAACGGGAGCATAGATTAAACGAATTTAAACGGGAAAATAGACGTGGCAAAGGGCGAACTAAATACATGCATAAAACTTGGAACATGCCGCTCACAAAAGTTTAGTATATATATGATAAAGCAATGAGGCGGGCAATTATATAATATATAAAATGGCACGAATTGTGTGTGTTAAATAAGGGATTCGGTTGTGAGAGATCAACTCCCAAACATCGCAAAATCTCGATATACAAATTTTTAATTTACATAATTTTGGCATATTCTACAACGTAACACAAGTAAAATTAACAACGATGAATGTAAAATTCAACACTTTCGAATAAAGTATAGAATTACGGAAATGTGTTAATTTGCGAGTAATCAAAATTGAAATTCTGAAGTACGGCTTAAATATGAATAAAGGTACAATAACAAAATTTCATAAAGTAAAAAAAATGAATGCTTACGTTCGAGGTACGAAACCATAATGACCACAAAACGAGCATATAAAAGAATTTTTTTAATTGAAAAATGGTGGCGGAAATAGGGCCATACTGTGGTATCCTGTTACACTGACTATACAATCTAGTACCTTTCAGTCACTTGTTTTATAATAAATAGAATAAAATACCTCACTGACATATCACAATGATATTTTAATGTCTGCAATTACTAGTTATTTATGACGAGGATATCGATTTGTATAGCTTCACTACCGACAACTCCAGATTACAAGCACCACTTTTTGAGTTCGTCATTAGACTTGCAAGTAGTAATATACAGGGTGACAATTTGAAAACTTACCACCCCCCCATATCTTAGTAAATAAACGAGATATTTAAAAAAATCAAAATCCGTTTCGGTAATTTGGAGGGGGAATCATAATGACATAGTTGGCGACGCACCCCCTCCAACCCTCTGCGCCCCAGCCACCCCAACTTTTAAATCTTAAATAGTGACCCCCCATGTGTGATACGTCGTTGGAAAGCTCTGAAAAAATGCTTTCCAGCCAAGCCAAATAGCATTACATTTAGTAGTAATTATCGTGCAAATCAAAAAATAAACTAATATGATACATTTGAAATCTGTCGTATCTAAAACGCAACCGGCGAACATTAGACGAACTAAGAGAGAGAATAATTCAAGAATGTCGAAATATTGCAAAACCAACATAGGAAACGTTCGACAAGAGTTTGAGAATAGATTATAACTGGCGATCAAAAATGAGTTGCTGTCGAGTCGGCTTTGGAAGTTCAAGTTAAATCCGATTTTCCATGTTTATTTTTTGATTTGCACGATAATTACTAACCTAAATGTAATGCTATTTGGTATGGTTGGAAAGCATTTTTTCAGAGCTTTCCAACGACGTATCACACATGGGGGGTCACTATTTAAGATTCTGGGCACGCCAATATGTCATATGTTTCACTAAGATATGGGGGTGGTAAGTTTTCAAATTGTCACCCTGTATATTTTTAGATTTATAATTGCTTTACCAAAAATATACCAAATGTACCTAGCAAAAAAATGTACCCTCTTTCTCCTAATGCTGTTGACAAAAATCCAAAAAACCGGACGATTTGAGGGGAGGG